GAGAGAGAGAGGTATGTGTGTGTGTGTGGCCAGCTCAGCCCACCAGGGGGCGGGGCTGGCTGGCATGTGGTGCTGGGAGATTGAACCGCGGTCCCTGTGCTTGCTAAGCTTGTTCTAAGTAGGTGCCTTAGACCACTGAGCCATCTCTCCAGCCCCTAGTGTTGTTTTTTTTTAAATTTACGTTTCATTAATTATTTTTCGGGCACGTTAAGCTTGTCTGAGGCTCTCCCACTCCCTTCCCTGACTGCTCCAAGTTTCCGCACAACGTGGGGAAGCGCTGCTGCCTCCCGCGCCTCGCGCTGAGCTCCCCTGCAGCCAGCGTGCTGTGGGCTGTGCAGCAGAGGCGCGCTCGCTGTAGCGAGACCCTCTCCCACACCTGGGCCGGCTGGAAGGCTCGTCCCTTTGCGAATGAACAGGAGAGTGGTGCTATGAACAGAAAGCGATTTGATTAACACTGTCAATTAAAATTATTACGTAAGCATAGATGAAATGCACAATCGTTGCACAATTCCCTATTTCTAATTATTTTTGTGAGTTAACCTAAAGATTCTAATATTGTTTTAATTAATTTCGTGGCATTTCTATGATACGTTAGTCATAAATTCTTTTTCCACTTTCCTAGAGCTTTTCGGTTTAATTTGATGCATTTTACTGTCTTCCACGCTGAGTTAATATTGTGACAAATATTAATATTTTCTTGACTTAAAAGTTTGGAGATTAAAAACATAAATGTACTGGTCATTGATGTTTTCTGAATTCTGCTTTTGTTGTCAAAAGCAGCTAGTGTTGACAGCTTGCAGTTTGCACTGAGATTGTACTCTAAGCAGTGGAAACGCCCCCTGTTGTCACATGGGAATCCGAATGTGGAAGCAGCGCCTTGGTTCCGGGGTTCAGGGGCCTTCTAGGCTCTCAGCCTCATTCCATCAATGACCACAGCCGCATGGTGGATTTGCTTTTGACAGGGAGTGCGTTTCTTAGTTGGATGGAGGCTGTCCACTTCCTTCCGAATGCCCACCGCACTGCAGTGCACACGGCAGCCTGGGTCCCTCACACAGGCCGGTGTTGAGTGTTTCACTCTCTTTTCAACTGTTGGGCCTCAGGTTGTTCTGAGCTCTTAACTTACGCCCCATCTCAGTGACTAATCAGACTGTTTATGTTTTATTTCTTTTGAAATTAGCAATGATAATGGTACCATAAACACCTGTAAATCAAGTAAAGTAACGTATGTGGTCTGGCCTTGACCACGTGCTAGATGCAGCAGCTGTGACAGGTAAAACTGATAGCTCATTAAAAATCACATCTCCCTAACACCTACTTTTACTCATGAGCTCTTTTCTTACAATTTAAATTTCTGCCATAAGTTAGCTCTTCCTGTGCTCTCCTCTTCTCTTACAGTTTATTTGTAAAAATTCATAGGTAGATAGAAGCAGCGATGGTAAGGACAGGACAGCTCCCTTCGTTACAGCCCAACGTTAGCATCTTCAGCCACAACTGGGTGTCATTTCAAAGCTGTCGTTTGCTAGCTGTGGCAGGCTGAGGCTAACTGCTCATCCAACTGCGCTGTCTTTCTTCCTTCACTTTACGATCTGCCTTGCTTTCAGGGACAGGAAGTGACTAAGCTCCGTCGGTGCTCACAGTAGACTCGGACCTCCAAGAGCCTCCCGGTCTCTTTGCCTTGCCGTCAGCAGGGAGGGCACTTCCTGCAGGGCAGCCGTGGAATTCCTGAAATGCAGCGGAGCTCAGTCAAGGGCCTGAGATGTTGATCGTCTCTAGGAAAGCTACTGATGGGTTGTTAAGTGAGGAGGGAGGATTATAGTCTTAATCTACTGAAAGACTGGACTCTGTTCCTGCAGGGAC